TTAACGTGAAGCCTTTGCCGCTGTAGAACTGGCGCACGTCCGCGCAGCTCCGCACGTTGCCGCCCGCGTTATCCGCAGACAGAGCCACGGAGATGAGCGACACGAGCAGCGCGACCGCTGTCAGATCCATTGTGTCCGGATCCAGAGACTGAGGAGGAGGAAGAAGTCCACTGACGCTGATGCTCTGCACTTCACACAGCGATTCAACGCATCTGACTCTGTCTACAACAGCAGGGTATAGAATAAAATCCACTTGTTTTGGAATGTAAACGCGCGTCCAGGTTTAAAACCGGTGGTCCTAATGAAAGAGGATGTGTGTTACTGATCAGTCCGGTGGGGATCTGTTTCTGGTGCTCATGTCTTTACGCACTACTAATAATGCATAACAAATAATGATATCCCTATAAGTAGCTACTATAGTATGAACAGTAAATACTGTTGGAGGAATTGCAGGATAAAGCGCTCAGTGCTGCTGCTGTGCGCTTCTGTCTCTCTACTGTCCCGTTCCCACTGAACAATAGTGATGTCCGATTCGCAGGGATAAAGCGCTCAGTGCTGCTGCTGTGCGCTTCTGTCTCTACTGTCCCGTTCCCACTGAACAATAGTGATGTCCGATTCGCAAACGAGTCGTTCTACTGAATCGGTTCCTTTGAACGATTCGGAGGAATCGATTTGCTACTTTCTTTTCTTTTTCTTTCTTTCTTTTTTTTAATAGAAAGAACGCACTCCTTGGTGAAAAAAACGAACCTAAGATGGGTTGCTTTTTCAAATGTCCAAACGTCTGCATTTTTTGCCCAATTACGACTTTTTTCCTGAAGTCCATTTTTTTTGGCGATTCTGCCCGTTTCCACCACAGAATAAATAAATAAAAATGCAGTGACTTTTTTTCTTGCAATTCTGAGTTTGTTTAGCTATGTCTCAGAAACGCAGACATTTTTTTATCTTGCAATCAAAAAAAAAAAAAAAGACTTGGAAACTTGGAACTAAATAAAAGTAAAATACAATAATAAAAAATAGATACAAATTGGCACTTGGTTTTTCATTTTGATTCCATGGTGGAAACGAACAGAATCGCCAAAAAAAATGGACTTCAGGAAAAAAGTCATAATTGCAACTCAGAACTGCGAGAAATATCTAACATTTCAGCACTTTCATTCAGTGGCAAAATGTTCCTCATAATTCTGACATTTGTCTAGCAAGCGTGAGATAAAAATGTGCAGTTAGCCTAACCTTTTTTTTTTCATTTTATTTTATTTTATTATTCAGTAGCAGAAATGGGCTTCCATTAGTCAAACTACTAGTATGTTTTGTGAAAACTAGTTAAGATCAGGAAACCTTTCATCAAGGTTAGTATTGAGCAATTCAGTGAACAATTCATGAACATTTACTCACTTGTAGTTCTTCTGTGAGTGCGTTTGTATATTTTTCTCATCCAGCGACGAAAATTGGCAGCCAAAATGAGCTAAATAAATGGGAAATTGGCTTGGGAGTAAAACTGTAAGATGAATTAAATGTTGAAGACAAACAATAGCCTAAAACGTTTTTCTTAAAGAGCTGGATACCTACAGCATTTTCAGGCATCAAATTAAATAAGCGAATTAAAAAATATACTAAAGCAAAAACATCGCAATTTAAGCATAAGGAAGAAACGTTCGAGGAACATTTTGGGGTGATGAATCAAATGAATCGATTCATTGAATTGATCCGTTTGTTCCAATTTCCAATGAATGTCCTAACGTTACAGAACAAGTCCAGCCCTGTGGTAGAATAAAGAGGAAGGGTGGGTGTAAAGACACCTGCAGGTGGTAGTCGACGCCCCCTGCCGCCTTCCCAGACTACTGTAACACAATGTATCCCGCATGGCAATTGATTTTGAGGTTCTGATAGCTAACAGAGTGAATCGGTTATGGGCTGAAACCGAGAACACAGTCAGCTGCGAAAGCCTGTTATTTTTCAGGCAAGACACATCTAATTAAGTGCACTTAAATTCTTGGGGGTTTGTGGTGAGCAGGTTTATTTCAATTACACGGGGTTACACAGCTGCATGAAGAAGAAGAATTATTTTCACAACGACAATAAGCGCATAGCCGTGCCGGTGAAAAATGCAAGTGAGTCATGATTGACTGAACTGAAAAAATAATACAGCACTCACCTTTAAGCTCAAAGCAGTTTCAAAGTCATAATTTCTTTGACGGTTGCCATGCACTTTGTTGGCACAAAAACGCAACGGAGAAATGAAGGGTTTCAGTGTGGCTGGAGACCAGGAAATGTTCATGACAGCTTAATTGGCATCTAAATAATAAGACACAGCTAATTAAAAAAAGCAGCATAAATTACAACATGTCTGCGGAAAGACATGACGACTTAATTGTGCGTTCTGACACCGCTTAGTTATAGAGCACTGAATATGTTTATGTCATTGATACAAAACAGGTTCAGATCGGGCTGAAAAACATGTATTTGGATATACAAACCGGAGGCTATATAAAATACTAGAACCCCCAGAGACTGATGCTGACGCTGAGGTGCGAAAATAGGAAACACAAATTTAAATGTCAAAAAGCAACAGAGCGCGAAGAGAGGGAGAGAGATAAAACAAAGACAGGTATAGGCCTACTTTGAAAATATGATATTTAATTGATCGATCTATGTGCGAGCACTTACTGTAACAAATGATAGGCGGCGCAGTCAGAGCTACATGGAAAGCGACATTAATGAATTCAAACTAAAGTTTAAGACTGTCAAATCAAACAATAGGCTATATAGGGAAATGTTGCGTCTAGAAGGGTTAAAAGCCAATGTTATGAAAGACTACTAAAAATCAAGTGTTTCAACATCCTAGAGTTCATTAAAATCGACTCGCGTTGTTTTAAATGGTTATATGAACAACCCGACTATCATATACACACTTTGTATACATAGATTTCAGTATAAATATGTTAAATGTACAATTTGACCTTTTACAAAAAAAGCCCTACAATTGCACAAGCAGGTGGGCCAATCTTACAAAAACTGGGTCATTTTCAGTGCTTGAAGTGGAAAAAAAGAAGTGCCGGTTTTTGTTATTTTATGTTAAATAACTACTTTTTAATTTTCATAGTTCACAATGTAGGCTATGTATAGTGCCACAATCAATCAGTAATTAAACAAACGTTTTCAATACAAATAACCACAAGTCAAGCTGCGATACCAAACAGGACCACAGGGAGACGCCTAAGACCACTAAACCTCCACTGGATACATTCAGAATAGCTAAACTTCTTACCACCGCATAACACCTCAGCCAGCCAGCGTCCATTATAAACCATTCTTGCTTTTAATCCAAATACACAATGAAAAGAATAATTTACTGACATCTGGACGTGAGTCACTATTCTCTCCACAATCTCTGATGAAATTGGCCGTGTTTTTCACTGCATTAGACCGGTTTTGTCCAACTGTTTGAATTCGCTTACTGGATCCTTGGACTTTCCAGGAGTTTATCGGTTTCTATTAATGATGGCAAAAACCTGCTTCTTTTCATTTTTAAGGTATTGTTTTCGTTATAGTGTACTGATTCAAATGAGTAATTAATTATTATTCTACTTCTCCTGACATGCTCTTGCACCTCACACAATTTGGCTGAAAGGAGAACAGTAGCCTATAGTGAAACAGGACAGCGCCCAGACATCCTCACATTATATTATTTCTTTGAAAACGTATATAAATTCTCCATCTTTCTAAAGAAGTTGACGCAAACATGGGTTTATCAATGTTTTTCTATTGTGTTACACATGTATGCCTTTGGACTTAAATGGACTGCCGTTGTTTTATGTATTTTTGTGATTACAAATAAATGGAGCAGCCGTGACTGAACAAATGTTTTCTCATTTTATGTAAAATAATTAAACATATTAGTTGGATTTAGCATCACTGATGTGCACTTCTAACGCAAAGTAATAAATTACTGTCACTGTAACTTTTTTAATCGTAAATCATTGGTAAAATATTTTTAAAATCTTTATAAGGACGAAATGTCCGCATTTGTCAAGTTTATTTTGCGATAGTTTTCATTTATTTACCCCCTCACTGGTGAAATTATGTTGTGTGCCGTTTGCTTCAGAGAGGCGTGTTGAAGGGATAGTTCACCCAAAAATGAAAATTTGCTGTTTATCTGCTTATCCACAGGGCATCCAAGATGTAGGTGAATTTGTTTCTTCAGTAGAACACATATGATGATTTTTAACTTTAACCGTTGCAGTCTATCAGTCGTATAATGCATGGCAATGGTAACAAAATCTATGAGTGTAAAAAAAACATGCACAGACAAATCCAAATTAAACCCTGCGGCTCGTGACGACACATTGATGTCCTAAGACACGACAGTGGAAGCGCAGCATTGCCCGGCCGGCTCGTTAGCCCTGGCTCGCACTGGCCAGACAGTGGAAAAGTGACAACCCCTGCGGTAGTCAGACCGATTCACGCGATTTGTCGAGATGAGAGGTGACCCCTCCTGGTAGTGTGATTTATATACTGTTATTTCACCAGACACTGACGCTTTGACTCTGAGTACCGGCAACATGTCAGAAGTGCCGGTACGCCCGAAAAAGTGCCAGTACGCTAAAGACTAAACTAACGTACCGGCCCACTTCAAGCACTGGTAATTTTCATTTTATGTAATGAAAATTGTCCTTTTTTTTTAAAGACAATTAAGATTGAATGATTGATTAATTTATGCATTATTTGTTTTATTTTCATGTCAATTATGTAGATTCTAACGTACCGGCCCACTTCAAGCACTGGTAATTTTCATTTTATGTAATGAAAATTGTCCTTTTTTTTAAGACAATTAAGATTGAATGATTGATTAATTTATGCATTATTTGTTTTATTTTCATGTCAATTATGTAGATTTTAACTCTCAAATTCTCAATGTAATACAAAGAAATGTAAATGTATTTTGGGGGAAATATTAGAAACATTTATAAATAAAATATTAAATAATGTCATTTTTTTCAGGTTCAAATTATTAGGAAAAAATCTTAATGTTGCGAAATTGCCATTATTTTCATAACTCAAAAATAATAACCTAAATAAAAAATAAATATAACCTTTGTAAGATTCACCCAGGTAAACTGATAAAAGGAGACTTAAAATAGCTAATTCTTTCTTGAATATAATCCACACATACAATAATACTCACACATTTATAAAAACAAAACAGCCTTTCCATCATGTAACTCCTACAAGAAGGTGTGAATGAATTCAGGATGTGATGTGTTACTCTAAATTTTACCGAACTAGATGAATGTAATTGTAAATCCTTATTCAATGAAGCTGCAAAATAGCGGCACTATAAAATATGACAGTAAAACCACCAAAGAAATGATGGTGTACCATGATCACATTCATGTCTTTGTACACTACTTAGTAGCTACATAAAACCCTTTAAAACAGGCCAGAGCAAATGAATAACCAGTTTGTGAATAGTCGTATCATGTGGGGGGGCTGACATGAGAACTTACTGAGCATCTGATGAGATCAGAAGACAAATGTGCAGACTTCTAAGGGCCTAGTGCAAATGCATGCTTGAATCATTCAGTCTTTTTACTGTGCGTCAGACGGGCCACAGAAGGAGCTGTATTATGAGGAAGAGAGGAAGAAATAGGAAGGATGAGATGGTTGAGATGTGAGCGACTCCATCGTTGGGCGCACCAGGTTTGGATCTGGAGTTGGGGGGCTGGATTGGGATAATGGCGTTCCGTGGTGGAATTTGTTCATGGATTTTCTTTTTAGTGAGCACTGTAGAAAGAAAAATGAACAAAATGTGTAAGAATGAGGTGCGGATATTACATTTAAACAAGATTTTCAATGCAATGCAATAGAAGAACCATTTTGGGTTCTTCAAAGAACCTTTTAGTGAACACTTCTTAAAATAAACTTTTTTTTTTCTTAGTGTGAAGAATGTTTTACCAATATAAAGGATTTTTGAGGCTGCAATAGAAGAACCATTTTGGGTTTGTAATGGAAAATTGTAACACCAGCCATGTGTTTCACACCTGAGTGACCCTGTTTTTACCTGTCTTTGCCAGTCTCAAACCAGATCCTGTAGCTATCTGTGATATTATTTACATATTTTCTCTGTATCTACATCCTGTCTCCATCTTTAGCACTTAGCTTAAACAATAGATAACGTATAACCAAGCAAGTTTACACCTAGGCAGGCCGCAATAAAATGAGATGTTTCCTCTGCAGACTGTTCTGTATGAGTGCTGGCCTTCTTAGCAAAGAATAAATGACAAAGACAAAGATTGGACTCAATATCTTTATTTCAGTCTCATGCTAAAATAAAGTTCTACGACAGGTTCCTCGAAGAACCTTTTATTGAACTGTTCTCAAAAGAACCATTATTTTCTTAGTGTAAAGAACATTTTCATAAATAACTTTTTTCCACTCTTAAAAATAAAGGTTTCAAAATGGGGTTTTTGCAGTGATACCATAGAAGAAATTTTTGGTTTCCCCAAGAAGCTTTCATTGAATAGTCCTTAAAAGAACCATTTATTTGAAGAGTTCCATGGATGTTAAAGGTTGGTAATGGAACCACTGGCACCAATAAATAACTTTTAGTTTTAAGAGTGTAAAAGAACATTTTGTGCAATGGAACCACTGCACGGATATTAAAGATTCTTCATGGAACCATCAATGCTAATAAAGAACCTTTTATTTTTAAGTGTAATGACTCACTAGAAGAACCTTTTTTGGTTCCCCAAATTAAAAGGACTACTATTTTCCTAGTGTAAAGAACGTCTAGGTTACTTGTGTAACCCTCGTTCCCTGAAGGAGGGAACGGAGACGTTACGTCAGTGACTGACGAATTGGGATCTCGCCCGAGAGCCCAATCGTCACACCTCTTCCCACTGAAATCCAACCTGAGATTCTCATACAATAGCCATTGTGCTGTGTGTACAATACACAAAGCCTTCATTTATTCACAATCACTGCGAGGAGATCTGTTGATGCCAATTAAAACGGTAAAAGGATCTGATTCGTATCAGACTGGAGAGCGAACGCCTGCGGGCTGGTGGCATTGACAGGAAAGATGTGTGGAATGATCACATATGCTGTATAAAATCACACTAAATATGCAGCAGTCGTGTGAAATTGAGGATTCTTGCTGATGCAGAAAGTGAGAATGTTGGAGAATTTACTTATTTGCCTCTGGAAACAGCATGGGCAAGACGCTATGGTGTTTAAGGCAATATGTACATTGGTTTTTAGAGAACATTGGAATGTATTCGCATTGTTGAATGCCCATTGTATCGCCTATTGAATCGCTATTGTATGTTTGAATATAGCATAATGAAAACTGTGCAGGATTTTAGATGTATTTTTTGCTGATAATCAAACGCATCAACACTGAACGCAACCACCACTGCATAACAGCAAAGATAAACAATTTTTATAAATACATAAAAATATAAATGAAAATATTTTTTTAATAGAAATATATATATATATATATATATATATACACACACACAATATAAATGAAAATATAAATTATGTATAAATATAAAATAATTGTACATATAGTTATATGCAATGCTAATATTATGTTTTAAATGTTTTGTGTTTAAATTATTTCGTAAATATATGTCATACAGTGGATTCATGTTGAAAATAAAATAATATTATTTTTTATTTAGTTTAATTAATTATTTAATATTTAAAAATTACATACAAGTTGATTTATATCAGCAGGTCAGAAACCAGAAACTTAAAGAGTTATCTTTTATGTAACAGTCATTTATTTAAATAAATAAGGAAAGAAATAAGCATAAAACATTGACATGCATTACTATATGTACATTTTTCTATAATAAAAGTTGAAAGGATGCATTAAATTGATCAAAATAGACAATAAAGACATTTATAATGTTACAAAAGATTTCTATTTAAAATAATAATTTTTTGAGCATTAAAAAGTCCTGAAAAAGTATCATGATTTCAAAATAAAAATAAATGACACCATGCAGCACAACTGTTTTCAAAATTGATAATAATAAGAAATGTTTGACCATCAAATCAGCATATTAGAATGATTTCTGAAGGATCATGTGACACTGCAGACTGGAGTCAGCTTTTCCATCACAGGAATAAATTACATTTTAAAATATATATTCAAAAAGAAACCAGTTATTTTAAACTGTAATAAAAAAATTCTCAACATTACTATTTTATTGGCTGTTCTTTGCCTGAATTAGCTGCAGTGTGGAGCAGACATTATACCGAAAGTCAAAAATCTGACAAACATCTTTATATCCATATCTCAGGTTTAAAATTTTTATCAGATGGATATTAAATATGCATACAGTTTCTACGCTCATAGTTGTTAAAGGCCAACATGTGCCAACGGTCAGAAACCAGAAACTTAAAGAGTTATCTTTTATGTAACAGTCATTTATTTAAATAAATAAGGAAAGAAATAAGCATAAAACATTGACATATATTACTATATGTAAATTTTTCTATAATAAAAGTTGAAAGGATGCATTAAATTGATCAAAATAGACAATAAAGACATTTATAATGTTACAAAAGATTTCTATTTAAAATAATAATTTTTTGAGCATTAAAAAGTCCTGAAAAAGTATCATGATTTCAAAATAAAAATAAATGACACCATGCAGCACAACTGTTTTCAAGATTGATAATAATAAGAAATGTTTGACCATCAAATCAGCATATTAGAATGATTTCTGAAGGATCATGTGACACTGCAGACTGGAGTCAGCTTTTCCATCACAGGAATAAATTACATTTTAAAATATATATTCAAAAAGAAACCAGTTATTTTAAACTGTAATAAAAAAATTCTCAACATTACTATTTTATTGGCTGTTCTTTGCCTGAATTAGCTGCAGTGTGGAGCAGACATTATACCGAAAGTCAAAAATCTGACAAACATCTTTATATCCATATCTCAGGTTTAAAATTTTTATCAGATGGATATTAAATATGCATACAGTTTCTACGCTCATAGTTGTTAAAGGCCAACATGTGCCAACGCCACAACGTACCTAGACCCGTAATTGCTTTGACATGTGGCCACTCATTTGTAAGACAAAGGCAAACACGCCTCCGTAAAATCATGTTTACCTTCTGTCTATCAAACACGCAGGTGAAGCATGACCACACATGACAGGAAGAATGATTGCATTTCGAATCTTTCCCTTGAACCTCTAGCTGTTGCAGGAACAAGCCTCCGCAGGTCACATGGCAACTCCCGAGTCGGCAGAGATCTGAAACTAGACGGCGGAGACCGGAGGAGAGCACCGTACTGAACGCCTCACAGAACACAGCCAACAGACTGAATACATTATCATGACAGTGAAGTGTGCGCTGGGCTCGCTTTGGCCTAGTTTCGCCAACTTCCAGCTGAGAAACAATGACGAACAGGAAAAAAATGAAAAGTATACAAGACTTACAAGACTTTTACTTGTCCTTAACTTATTTTGCATTTCAAAAGACAGCTTCTCGGACTCGGCAACTTTTACTTAGATCAAGTTTATCTCAACAACTTATAGGCAATGAAAATATGTTCTAAGAATGTTTTGGTAACGTTCCCATAACATTATAAAAACATTGTTTCTAAATGTTCCCAGTCTAACTTTTCTTGGTAATGTAAACGATGGAGAAATCATTGTGCAAACATTATGGGAATGTTACTTTTGAATGTTCAACCATCAGTAACGTTTAAAAAAAACTTGCGAATGTTCAACTAAAATATTTCAGAAAAAAAAAAAACATTCCATGAATTATGGATAAGCATAGTTTTTGTGGAACATGGATCATAACGTTTTGAGAATGCTATTAAAGACCAGGTCAATCTGAACAAACGTTCTGTTAACATTACTGGAAGAAAATTCTGTCATTAATTACTCACCCTCATGTTGTTCCAAAAGTAACATAATTGTTGAACCACTGATGTCACATGGACTATTTTAATGATGTCTTTGCTACCTTTCTGGGCCTTGAATGTTGTAGTTGCATTGCTGTCTATGGAGGAACAGAAAGCTTTCAGATATCATTACAAATATCTTACTTTAATCTTCCGAAGATGAACGAAGGTCTTACAGGTTTGGAACGACATGAGGGTGAATAATTAATGATTGAATTTTCTTTTTTCGTTGAACTGTCCCTTTAAAGGTGCACTAATGCTAATCTTCAGAACAGCATGCTAACATACTACTCCATGCTACATACTACTTACTATTTCTATATAACTATAATGTACACAATATGCTAATTTTCTGTATGCGTTTTACATGACCTTCCATTTTCAGTGTGATGAATAATTGAGAAGTACTATCAGAATTTTTAATCATCTCATTTTTAAGTGAAATGTTGACATTTTACCCAAAATTGGACTACAAATGCAAAATAACTGGCCATGTGTCACCAACGTAACATACTATTTATCAAAATGTTTGCAATTTCTTTCAATTGAATGCAGTCTCAGCTAACAATGTCATTTTGGTTCCCAGAATGTTCTGGAAACATTACTTTTTATAGTTCTCAGAATGTTAGGTGTTAACATATACTTTTGCTGTAGATTGGTGTGTCAAATTTGGTGATATTACCAGAGATTTTAAGGTACACTCTTAAAAATAAAGGTGCTTCACGATGCCATAGAAGAACCTTTTTGTCTAAATGGTTCCATAAAGAACCTTTAACATCTGAAGAACCTTTCTGTTTGACAAAAGGTTCTTTGTGGCGAAAGAAGGTTCTTCAGATTACAA